TATCAATATTGTTATTAACTTCAATTAAGTCAATTTAAATAGCAGGCAAGACCTTCCAAGGGGTAAAAATGCTGCTGCTGGAGTACTGACTGGAAGTAGTGCTGATATCATGTCTACCATATCCTCTTAAAATACTCTGTCCAACAATATCAGTTTCATGTAGAAAGGTGTTTTAACGCTTATTCAAAATAGCAGAGAAACATGCATTCTTGTTCTCAGGAAGGGACATTGACAGAGGATTACTCAAAAAGTACACAGTAAGTACTTCATAGTACTTGTTGTGGGAGTAGTTTCACTACTAGCCTACTGAGTCCAACAGGATCAATCTCATGAAGGACTATTGGCAGAAAAAATAATAACAAACTGGAGAGACGGTTGAGTGACCGCAGTGCAGAATCGCTGTATAGTTGAAGTCTCCTAACAATGTTGTCCATTTTAGACACAGGCCTATTATATTTACAGCCCTTAATAACATTCATTTTCTGGGCTCAAAGTGTGTCTTGGCCGTTTTCATTGTGATTGCTAAATTCCCCTTGTTTATAATAATCACAGTTCCTTCAACAGGATACTGTAGTGATTCAAAGTGTGATTTTAGCATAGCCTACGAGTGCTTTTGTTTTGAAATCACTTTCGTGAGTTTCGTCTGCGCTCTTATTTTGTAAGGTAACTTCCGGTAGCAGAATATGAAAAAATTGTAGTTTTTTTGTTTCTGTTTTCTAGTGATTTTCTTTTTTCTTTTGAGAAGTAGAAAATGAAAATCATCCAGTTTTTTAAGTTTAGTAAATCCCTTTTTGACCATGATAAAGAAAAACGCCTTGTATTTCAATTTGGGTTTTCAATTTTAAAACGAAAATCAAATATCCAGTCGTTTTTTGTTTTTGAATTTCCATTTGTGAAAAGAAAATCCAATGACCAAAACATACACTGACCCCCTACTCCCTGTTGTGTTGGAATAACTTCCTCGCACCTGGTTGTGAACTAGAAACAAATGTGGACTGAGCAAATGCTCCCAACACAGCCATGCATGTCATCTCCGGGGGCTTTTCTGTAACCCAGTCCTCAGGCAGACATGTATTTTTACCATGGCCTTTTGACCGTTGGGAGATGACTCGTGTGGCAAATGGAGGGGCCTTTCTTAGCGTGGCCCTCTGGCACTCCAGAGCTGCTGAGCAAGACACCCATGAGTGGGAGGACAGAGCTTTATGGAGGAGAAACAGGACCTGGCCTGTCCTTCCCAGAGTCTATTCCAGGGCTGCTATCATTTCACCCTCTCACCTCTTAAAAATAGCCCCCACTTTTAACCAGCGAAGGCAAAGCACACATGGCAAGGGCTTTTATTTTTAAATTCAGACTTTTGCCAAGTAAGAGCAGCATAGACTGGGAACTATCTAGTTGGAAGCACTCCAAACGCCTAAAATAATACTGGGTCTTTTTATGTTTCCTTCCTTTATATGTTCCTAACCTTAAAACGTAATGTTTAAGTTTGGCAAATAAAGCAAATAGGAGCTTAACATCATGCAGCTTTATTCCACATTCCATTGAAGACACATTTGGTGATTACAGATCAGCTGATCACCAGTTCAACACAAACTTGGACAAAGTGAGAAAAACACAAATAACTAATATCAAAGGAAACATGTATGGAAAACAATGTGTAATCAATCTTCAGACATGTTATTTTAACAATTATCTAGACCAATTTCTCAATTTAACTGGCTCAGAAGTACAAAAGTATAAAAAAAAGTTAAGAAAAACAATGAATACGTCATTAAAATATTGCACTGAACGTATGGGCAAGGCGCCCACCTCCACCATAACCTTGGATTTCTTTCAACATCAAATGCAGTCCCTGCCATAAACAATTGGGTGAAAAACCTTCAAAAAGCACATTTTTTCTACAAGTCCGCAACTAGTTAGATTTTCATTATTCCTCCTCCTCCTCCTCCTCCGCATCCTCAAACTCATCATCATCAACCACTCCAAAGTCCATTTTTGCCAGCACTGCCTCAACATGCTCTGTCGACAAAGTGAAGTGATCCATCTTCTCGAAGCCTGGCTCTGGCCGGTCTTCCCCCAGCGAGCTTTTAGCTGCATCCTTGGTCTGCGTGATGAGGCTCTTGGAGGCCAGCAGGAACTCCGCAGCCCCCCCCTGCTCCAGCGCCCTCACAGCAGTGTCCGTCAGCTCTGAACTGGTCTGCAGTCGCTCACTGTAGCGCTGAGACAGCGCCCGCAGTGCTGCCACCTTTTCGTCTTGCTCTTTTCCAATCTGCTCTAGTAGAATGGTCTTGCGCTCCTCCAGGACAGCGTATAGCAGGTCAAAGCGTTCCGCTAAACCTTGCTTAGCACACTGAGCGTTTTCCTGCACAGCACGGCAGGCATCTTCCATCTGGTTGAGCAGGGCTTGCAGGCGGCCATTGCTAGCTACCAGGGTATCAATAGTATTACTCAGTTCACTCTTCTGGGTCTGGTAAACACTTGCTAAAGGTGCCACCTCACAGTCCTTATGCAGGCCGAACACTTTGCACATGGAGCAGGTGGGTGTCTGGCAGGTAGTGCAATAGATGTTGATCTTCTCCTCCTCGTGTTCTTGGCACATGGGCTCTTTGGATTCTTTAGGCTTCAGGGTGGGTTCTGTGCTCCCGCTGTTGCTCCCTTCTTGCTGCTGCTTATAGAGGTCGATAATATTTTCAACCAACAGGTTACGCTGGAGCCCATGCACACCATGACGGTCTAGCACAACCTCGAAGCGGCAGGTAGGACAGCGGAAGACGCCCCCGGAGAAGCGGTAGGGGTTGCGTGAGTCGTAGAGGTCGCTGGCACAGCTACGGCACAGGTTGTGCTGGCAGGGCAGGATCACCACAGGTTTGGTGAACATTTCCAGGCAGATGGGGCAGCTCAGCTGCTTCTCGAGGCTATCCATTGGGCTTGGGGCCCGAACAATAGACCCTGTCCTCTGAACGTCCATAATAATGTCACTGCCTAGCGTTAGACCAGTAGGTTTTCTTATTTTAGGAGAGAAAAATACAAGTTGTGCCCTTTGTTGGTTTTAAAAAGTTACCAAAAACAAGGTCAGACTCCTGGAGCTTCTCCTTGGCGTGTGCTGCTGCTTGTGAAAAGCTGATATCTATTCTGGGAGGTGGCAGCTCTGTCCTTTATACCAGCCCCTCACAGCTGGTGACATCTGATACCGTCCACCGACGAGAGCACACATTCCTGCCTGCTTGCTGCCTCGGGATCTTTTCACAGAAATGGACCCCTCCTACTAAGTGCTGCATGTGTCACTTGTCCCAGCGTCTCCTCTCCATCAGTGGTGGACGGAGCGAGACAACACGGGTCCATGTGACTGGCTCAGCAGAGAGGGAGCTCAATCTTATTGGTAAACAAGTCAATGTCAACATCCTGTGACTGCTGTGTTGTTTTCACTGTTTTAACTTCTTTCATTTGTTGCATATTACCTAGTTTGCCATTAATATAATTTATTTAGATCACAACAAAAATGTAGTAACTTTGTCATTTTCTATACTTCCGACAGTAATAAATGTATATCAAGCAAAGTAACATCATTATTAAAGTCATAAATTATGTGTAGGTTAAATGAAAAAAAATTAAGACAAAAAAACTATTCGTAGGTAAATGTTTTTCAATTATGCAGGTTATCTTTACAAAAGTATGTTGAGGATTGTCACTGTTGTCAGACAAATTGAGAGATGTTACAACATGGCATGCTTGTAAATACAAATGTACTTGCTAACAAGACCTTCATTATGAATATCAGTTCTTTATGCCTTTTTAAAACGGCTTTATCAAAATATTTTCAAAAGAGTAGAATGTGTGCATTTACATTCAAACACTCTTAACTTCCCACACCCACCAGGAAGCATATTATGGCCTACTGTACGTCACCATTCATGGCACATCAACAAGTAGAACCGTAAACAAGAGGGAGAAGCTATTCTTAAACTCTTGCACAAGTTAAGCATCACATGATGCAGGAACCCAAACAACTGCAACAATATGTTACCACCTGAACTGGCCTTCAACATATAATAATATGCCCCGCTACAGATAATGAAAAGGTGTTATCAAGAGTCTCATTTATTCCTAAATTCCAACATGTTATTTTCTCCTGGGTTAAATGATAGCTTAAGGCGAGACACCCCAGGTGAATAGGGTAATTTTTTTTACTTAAAGGTATCAGCTAGAAATATTTTCCAGTTAATTACTTACAATAAGGCAATTGTCTTTTGTATTACAAGTTTTCTGAAATAGCATGTTTAAATATGCAAATTAGCCATTATCTCATCAAATATGTGCATATTTTAACACATTTCAGGAATCGAAATCTGAACTTTGGATAAAGCCAGGTTAAAAAATGCTTGTTTTATTTTGTAGTCATATTAGTATCTGAGGCTTTTACAGAAGGGATTTTGGATATCTCTTTTTATCACTCCATAAATCAGAAAATACTGTCAACAGCCCTAAAATATCAATTTTTGCCATGTTTTTAGGTATATAATGTTGTATAATTCATGCTATGAATGATATATGAACAAACCCTTCTGTAAAAGCCTTCATAATATTGATAGGAATATAACTGGAAGGTTTGGTGTGTCTACGTGCTACTGAAGTTGAAATTTTGAACTCAGAGTAGGAGAAAAAACTCATTTTGAGAAAACGACCTTTAAAGATTGCAGCGAGGCGCTAGCTAAACCCTCCTGTTCTTTGGATGGCAGCTTTCGCCTCGACGCACTCCATGAAGGTATTTCATGTTCGGGGTCATTTGTTTTTTGTATAATCTTGCTTCGTGCAAGGGACAACTGTTGTCATCTTCTCTGTAAACTTTTTTTTCGTCTGTTCTTTTGCCATTTTGAGATTTACATTTCTAGCGGAAAGCTAACCAGGAAGTGTTTTAGCACACCACGTGACGCATCTGAACGAATCACGTTGTCTGAAATTGACACCAGCCAATGAGATTTCTTTCTTGGTTTAAGACCCCTTTGTGCTTTCACGATTGGTTGCTGATACAAAGGAAATGACCATATTTGGATCCGATGAGATTGTGCAGGAGAGACACAGCTTTCTAACGATATCTCTGTTGACATGGTGCACACAGCGGTCGCGGTACTTTATGTTACGTTAGAAAGCTAACTTTTGGTGAATTTAGGAGAAATCTACTGACGCAAATAGACAAACTATAGTCAAATAAACACTTAAATGTGTATTTTGTACGTTTTCCTTCCAAAAGCCTGAAAGAAAACATGTTATAGAATCAAAATAGCACAAAATCTCAAAAATTGACCAGTGCTTGAAAAACGAATGTTTTTTGCCTGCCGTGTCTCGCCTTAATGGTAAATGGATGTTTTCCAACCTGAGGCTCAGTGGTTCAACTCCCAG